AGTGCAAAGGAGGCAGATTTGGCTTGTGAGAAGATGTATGTACTAGAAGTTTTCTGCCAGCATGATCTCAGAGGAAGTAATGTTGGCAGCCCACTGATCCCCATGACACTTCTGTCAAGGAGAATTGTTATGTTACTATCTCTGACAGCTGTTGTTTCACTCAGTTTCCAGATTTGCAGATTTTTTTGAGGTCATGTTTGCAGCAATAAGGACTAGAAATGTGTGTGATAAAAAGCTACATTTCTGGAAAATGATCCAGTTGCAGAATCCACAGCCTCAGAAATGCGAAACACAACGTCTACATGTTCCAATAATGCACTTCTGTGAATATCCTTTAACAGCAGCATTTTTCCTTGTTCTGATTTATAGTATGTGTTGCAATAATTTATTAAGCCATAATTCTTAAATGTCCTTGTGTGTTTTTTTTCTTTTTTTACCAAAGCAATGGTTTGTTTCCAGTGTATTTTCAAGCATCAGCTACACAAGTGCGTGCTGCATCTGATGTTTCCGTGGAGCTCAGCTTTGTTACTCTGGTGAATTTTTGATATAAAAACTATATTCCTGCCAGTTTCTGCACTGTGGACTCAGTTGTGTTCCAAGTAAGGGAAACGTAAACATTTTACTTTGCACCTTGGCACGTTTTACTTTGTACGCTGGCATTGTTAGCCACTGCTGCCATGCTCTTGCCAACATGAGGAAAGTAGTGTCAAATTGATGCTTTACTTTTGATATATCAGATATCAGATGCATTTTTATAGATGATGCATCATGGTGGGAAAGCAATGCAATTTTAAGCATGCAAAACTGATCTCTGAAACAGTACTGTAACAGAAGTCACAAACAGTAATATAAGTGGCAGAACCTCCCTCTGTAGGAACTGAGATCTCATTGAAGTCAGACTAAAAAGGAAGCCTGAGGGTCTGGCTGCATCGCAGAGGCTGTTGGCAGCGCGCGTGAATCTCCTGTGCAGGGTGCACGCAGCCCCGAGAGGCAGGGAAGCAGGTATGCTCCTGGTCTGTCGGACAGAATGAGTGCTGTGGACAAATTCTGAATATTTTCATTGGTGCGATAACTGCTGTGCTACAGATAAGAGGGAGTTAATGGCAAAGAAATAAGATGGGGTGCAGAAGGCCCTGAGCTGTGTAGAGAGGGGCAAGAATGGCATTTAGAACCAGAATGAAAGTGGACCTTTTTTTCCATGGGCCTCATGCGTTACCCCTATGTGGAGGGGATTGGAGGCTCGGAGAGCAGGAGTAGTCACGAAGTGCATGAATTAAGTTGCCTTTGGCATTAGTAAATACCACGAACTCTAATCCCATTCTTAGTCATACTGATTACAGTAAAGAAACTTTTCTGTTGAAACTAGACTGCTGAATGGGAGGCTCAGGAGCCCTGAAAGTCCTATCCCCAAACATGTGTTTCCAAGCCAAAGTGTGCATGGAGCAGGAGGTTATTTTAGAGTTGGAATAGATGGAAGGAAGTGTAGAAGAGTAGGGAGCCGGCTTGAGAGGATACATGTTGTTTCTGATTTTCGTCCCATGAAGCTTATCAGGGGAAAGGTAAAACTTGATGTGTTTGCATGTCCTCAGGTAGCTTCTTTTTGGCTTCAGGCTTTAAACCTTTTCTGTGAATTCATCTCATATGGCATAAACTCTGCTTACCAGAGCCCAACCGCTGGTAGTGTCTGTCTGCGTTTTTGGCATTAAGTGCAGTTAAAATTCAGGTTGCTTGTGAACTTGCTTGGTAAAACTAGCTGGATCAACCTGCTGCTCTTCCTTTTGCAGCAGATAATTCCCTCTTACAATTTGATCTTGTCTGAATGCATATGGAAATTCTGGAACACCAGAAGCGAAAACGTAAGCTGGCTTCCAGCTGGACCCCTTTACATGAGGTCCACATGGATGCTTGGCCTCCATCTATGTCAAGTACTTTTTCTTATGATTCTGAGTTTCAGTCACATCGTTTGTGGCAAAGGGACCCGGTACTGATTTATTGCTGAGTTTTATTGTGTTTGTGCTTAGAAAGAGAATATTAGTTGTGGGAGATTAATCCATATGCTTCTGTGCTGTTTTCAGTAAGATTTCTTCCACCTAGAAATAACCATATATTTTTTTTAAACAAAAAAAATGTATGTCTGTCTAACAGAGTTATGATTATCTCTGTTAAGTTTATTTTGACGACTATGTTTACGGGCATGTTTTTGACATGTTTCAGGCAGTAGCATTAACTTAGCAGTTAGGTTACTTCCTTGCAGTGCTTAGTCAATAGTGATTTTCACTTTATTTTTCTCTGTGTAGCTGCTGTGATACTGCAATCTTGATGTTCGAAGGGCCTAAGTAAGGCCATGGCTGCGAGGAAAGACAATATCACGTGCTCTCATAAAATATATGTATGTTTTATTCATTCCACAGACTCCTTGCACAGTCTTGTGGGGTTTCTTTTACAATTTTTATGATAATAGTGCACTGGGTGACCATGTTAAAATCTGTGAAAACCTCGGGGCCGTAGACTGGCTGATACTTTTATGTTTAACCACTAGATGGGGGAGGTGACTGTGAAGAGAGAGGAGACTGAAAGCAAGGTTAGTGCAGTGAGTACGGCTCCAAGATCGAGGAGGTGCGGAAAAGTAAGATAGAGTCTCTGCAATACAAGCACTTCTGTTTCAGTCTGGTTGCTTTGCTAAGAGCTATACCATGAATCTGTAAAGATATCTCTGTATTGAAGGGAATGAGCAAGATGGAAGTACTTTCAGTTAGTTCCTTCCTAATTTTCACTGATCGTTTTCTTATTAGTTAACATCACCTTTTAGGCCAGTGAAAATAAAGCTTACTTTCTTATCCTTCCGTTTTTGAACTGTTTTAAAATCATATCAAACGTCTAAGAACTCCTGCCTGGCTAAAGGTACTCTTGTCCCTGGAAATTAATATTTGAAATGCCATAGAATTTTAACTCCAAAAAATAAATAATTTATTTATGCTAATTGCCCGTTTAATGCATTTCAAATGTATAAAATATAAAATATGATGCTCATACGCGAGACGCTTTCATTTTATCTTTGAAAAAAGAAAATGCATTTAAAGTCAGTAGACTAGCCTATTTTTCATTTGTTGAGAATTTTACTGGCATTTCTCTCCACTGGAGATTTTAGCTGTAAGTAAAAATTTTCCTCTGAACTGGTTTAAACTAAGGCCCTTTTTCTTGTCACGCACAGACAGGGAAATACTGCAAGATGCTGGATTAGCTTGTTCGCTTTTCATTGTTTTCTTTTGTAGCAGCAATCCGTTTAGCTATGGTATGCTGAGTTTATCTGATTAGCCCTTAATGAGTAAAGGGAATAGGGAAATGTTGCGTGAGTTACTTAAGCCAAATGAAGTTTTCAGGACCTTCCCCCCCTTTCTAAATACCTGAACTTTCCTGACCACCCCCCTCCTTGGTTTTTTTCTTCCACCGCAGCTCTTTCCCATCTGAAATGCGCTCCCCCTGCAACTTTAGCTGTCAGAAGTAGCGGTGCGATTAGCCGGATTTTGTTCAGTGCACACTGATCACAACATACGTCCTGCTCAACAGTGTTTGACAGTCTGTCTGGAGCTCTTACAGATTCAACTACTGTTGTTATGCTGACTTTCATGCCGTATCCAAGAACGTTTACAGAATAAAAAAAGTAATAATCTGTAGCATGAGTACTTCTAAAATAGATTTTTAAATTAAAACCAGGAGGTATGACTGTAAGCAATAAAATGATTTATTTAGAAGTGACATTTTAATGAGGATTCACTGGAGCTTGAACCATTACATTATATAAAGAAAATCAAGAAAGCTGAGATTTATTAACGCTTAAAATCAGTGTGTGCCATAGAGATTGTGGTTCTGTTACTGCGATTAACCTGGTAAGTTTCTTGCATAACTCATGTTTTCCTCTGGACTTCAACTTGATTTCCCTCTTTTGGGATTACTCTGTTTCCATATGATATTGCGTTGTAAATGTTTTAATAGGAAAGTGAAATTCTGAAAAACTTAGAGGAAAACATCTGTATCAGTTTATGCTGCTTAAATATATCGTAAGTGGTTGTATTAGTTTTATAGAGAAATGTGAAGTTGTCCTAATGTCAGTGAAAGTAGGTCCATGGAAGGTAGGACTGACTTGCAAAAGGGAATTTTCTTTGGGTTATGCATAGCAAGTTCTACAGCTGTTGAAGTAATAATGGCAAAGCAATGAAAATGTGTAAAGTGGATTATCAACAAAACAACAGTGCTGTTGAAGAAATGTATTAGAGAGAGAGACCACTTCAAATATTACAAGCTTTACCTGCTTAACAATAAATTTTTAAAAGAAGTGAGTTCACATTTCTTTTCTTGTTGTCAATGTCCCCACTTTCTCAGAATTAGAAAAAAAAAACCCTTTACAATAGGCAGATAGAATAGCAGTAGTGATCCTGTGGGAGCAGAATGTGTGTGTATATTTTTAAATAATTTGAACATACTGAAACAAAGCTAGAGGTCCTGAAATGCACCACGACACTTGAGAAAGGTTGTAGGAGGCGGTGAAGGGCTGTTGGAGCGTGCTCATCCTCCCGCTTAGCGTATCCCGAGGAGTTGCCTCCCCCAGGGGAGGTGCCGTCACTGATGGCGTTCACGTTCTCGGTGCGTTGCAATGCAGAACATAACGTGTTCGATTAAACTACTGTCAATGCTGAAGCCAGTCTGGAAGCGTCACAGGTTTAAAAGAAATAAATTTTGAGGAACATCCCAGTTTGTTCACTTCACTGACAGCCCAGTGTCATTTAAGCTTCTTGTTTCCATTATTGCTGTGTTTTGTTTTGTTTTGTTTTTGTCTGCTCCTGAATATATACAGCTCACGCCAGACTTCTAACCAGCCATCAAGATGGAAGAAAAATAGGTCCTAATCTGTGAATTAGGTATTGAAATATTTTGTAATTTCATTCAAAGATTTATTCAAATCACAAAAAGTATGTGTGTGTGTTTTTCTTTTCCCCTCTCAGGTTTGCAATTATGTGTGGCTATATGTCTCAGTTTGAAAGTGTACAAAACAAAATCAGGAATGGTTATCTCTTTAAGGTATGTTTTTTGTAGGGTTTTTTTTAAGCTATTCCTGTAATTTATTTCCTCATATAGTGTCAAAGATGGATTTTTTTCCATCACACTAATTTGTCCTCAAAAGTGTACTTTGGTGCCTATGTTAAAGAGAAAGAGTTATTTTTATGTACACTAGTAGGCGATATGCTGGCAAAATGTAAGTATATTGACTCAGGTTTCCAATAGCGTCGAGATTTCCATTTTATTCTGTGATCACAGTGAGGAGGAGAAGGGAGTAACAATTCCGTTTGTAAAAATGAAATACGTTAAATGTGAAGTGGTGAACTAACACAATCCTGCAATCATGCTTCCTGCCACCCTTCAGAAGCGGTGTATGTTTTAACCCTGGCCCTTCAAAGGCAACTGTATAACTTAGACGTAGCGATTTGTGTTACGTGTACTCCCCTGCCCCTCCTTGCGCTCAGTGTTGCTCAGGCTCCTTCCACCCGCTGCCCCTTCGAGCCTGTGTCCCCGTTTCTGGGTGTCACCAGGGCCAGCAGGCAGGTTTTAATTTGCTGGGAGTTCCTGTCCTGGCGGATGCCCAGGCCAGGTCCCCATCGCATCCCCTCCTTGGCAGGGCTTTGAGCGTCACAGGGCTCTCCGATGAGGGTGCATTAATTTTGTCAGAGCCGTGCCAAGTGAGCTAAATCCCAAGTGTCAGGGCATGGCAGGAGCAAAGGAAAAATGATGTGGTGTTGCATAAAAGGGAGCATGTAACAGAGAAGTGCTGCAGTTGTTAAAGGATGGAGCTTAAAAAGAGCCCACAGTGTTAGCAGTAGCCTTTTCAGTGAAGACCTTCTCTTGAGAAGGACTTGCTGAAATCCACGTAAATCATTTGGAAGCATGAGGGCTTTGGGGAAAATCGTAGCTTGAAAAAGGAGCTCATACCTGCATAGTTGTGGACATCATGATGAAATAATAGGCTCTCAGATCAGTACAATTCGGATATTTTAGTGATTGGCTTCATTGGAAAAACAGAGCTATCTGAAAAAATGATATCTTAAGAGAGAGATTTATTCTGAGAGGCAAATGGTCGCTAGGGATGAAATAACATATTTCTTTTTTCTTTAAACTGAGGTTAAGGAACAAGAGCTTTTTGCGGTGCATTAAACAGAAACAGAGAAACTCGTGACCTATAATGAAAATGATTTTGGAAGAAGCACCCCGTTAGATAGTTCCTGGGTTTTATTGTTTCATTGCAGCAGAACCATTTTATCTCCTAAGTTTCACGTTATAGCAACAATTTATTGCGTCATGAACCATATTGTTAGGAGAGTGATGTTCCAAGGTGGAGGAGATTGGTGCTGTTTTGTAAGATCTATCAAAGAGAATAATTGCATTCCTACCGATTTGGTGTGCTACCGTTTTCTAATAGTAACTGTATATACAACGAATGTAATTGAAGCTGTTGCCTTTTTAAGACAAAAGTTCTTGAGCTGTTTGGTTGAACTTTGGAGCTGCTCAGTCTTATTCTAAATGCAGCACGTCTTGCTGAATTGTGTGCAAAGTGGCTAAATAATTTTGTTTGTGGTTTCCCTTCATAAGGGTTTTGCTAACTGAAATATTTTTAGGATATTAGAACAAAATTTAAGGAGAAGAGAGTTTCAAAATGTGTATATGATTTACAGTGAATTTCTAAGAATGTAAACACACTTGCCAAACAAACATCTAAAGTGACACTGATTTTCTTTCTAATAGGAGCATCTAGACAAAGCAATTGAACTTAAGCCTCAAGATCCTTTTTTATATTACCTAAATGGAAGATGGTGCTATTCAGTAAGTTGCTTTCTATATCTAACATATGATTTGAATATACTGAATAATGATAATGCATTTGAAATGAAATAACAGACCTTAAGACAAAATATGTATTTATTGAAGTAGATGTTTTGAAACCAGATGAAACAGTACACATACATTTCTGGATTTCATTTCCACACCTGTGATGTTACTGTGACCTCGGATGTTGGAAGGCTTGATTTCAGTTCTTCACTCTGCCACAAACTTCCTGGGTGCTCTTGGGCCAGTTACGTAGCCCTTCTGTGACTTCAGTCCTCACCTGTAACTGGAGATGATGGCAGCAGCTCTGTGCTGCAGCATTAGGTCTGTGGCAGGACAGCTACCATGCTGGCTTGGTGAATTTCAGGTGAATGTCACAGCAAAGGTGCAGGTATAAAATCTATAACTTACCTCAAAACTTCTGAGTAACACAATTTTTTGTTGTGCTAACATGACAAATACTTTTAAATATTGTGTTAATGACATAGGGATAGGTATTCATATATGCAAAACTAAAATAATTATCTGGTTTATAAGCTTAGCTGTCGATTTATTTTTGTTAGAGAAATTGATGATTGTGCTTGTAATCTGAGAGTTCCTCTATTCCTAAACCCACATCCTTGATGGCTCAGATAGCTGTCCTTATCGCTTCATCTTGCATGTTGCGAGACATCTTTGTCAGAAGAAAATGTTCCTGCACAAGCTATGCTGTAAAAGGTCACTAGGGAACTTCTCAAAGCAGTAGCAGCCAGTGTTAGTAGAAGATCTCTTACTTCTCTCCAAAAATTCAAAGTCTGAACTCTTCATATTAAAAGTTGTGTTCTGCAACCACTATATTCCTCTTTTAGTAGGGTGTTGTCTTCAAACACATTAATTGAATCAAAAGCATATACAAGCATGAGATGAAGATGTCCATCTAGATTGGGATCAGGTGTTCAGGCTGCCTTGAAAAGTGAAATAGGTCAGAAAAATGTGGCACACCCATGCACTAAGGCATTTCAGTCCTTTCACTGTGTTCAGCAGAGGCTTCCTTCACTGACACGTTCCTGATAGTTTGTAAAATTTTGCCTAGTTTGTGAACTCACATCGGTCATTTATCATTTTTTGTGCTCTAATCTGAGGGAGGTTGTGTTTCTTTTTGAATGCTGAAAGTTGGTCTTGAACCATGTGCCTCTGTTTCTAAACCAGTTGTATGTATTTCTGCTGATGCATGCAGGGAGACGACATCCTCTTCTGTTGGATTCTATTTTTTAATCATCACTCTTTTAAAAATAATTACATGTCAAAATGGGCAGCTTTAGCTTTGCTGTTCTTTAGTCCAGTGGTGATGGTACTGCAGTTGTTTTTCCTTCTGGGTCAGTAGTAAGACTCTGCAGGCAGAAAAAATAGTGAAAGTTTCTTTTAATGCAAGAGCATTAACATACATAGCAGGGTGTTTTTTTCCCCCCTACCTATGCCCACATGAGTTGGGGAAAAAACATGATCATAGGTTTTGAGCAAGCCTGTATTTCAGAGTCAGTTTTCTCTGTGGCCTACCTCACTGCCTAAGTCTCCCCGCATAAAATAAAATAAACTGCTAGAAAAAATGTGAACTCCAGCCCTGCCTTTTTCTTTCACCTCTTTCCGAAGCTAGTCACTGTGAAGTGCCTGCACACTAGTAAGAGGGAGTTGCTATGACATTGAGAACGTTGCAGCCTTTGACTTTGGTTGTCTTCATCTAGAAAAAGAGTTAATGCAAAGTAATCTTTCAGCAGGTCTTTCAGATCACATATATGACTTTCAATAAACTTTCAGCAACTACATTTTTCTTAGTTGATCCAAGCAAGGTATGTCACCACGTTTTTCAAAGAGCTTTTCATTCAGCTTTTCATCACGGTGTACTTTGGAATATCAGCACTAGCTATGCAAAAGTGAGTTGCTAAAGACTATCCTGTCGTATACCTGCTGTCCTGCCGTTGAAGAAAATCTCTCTCAAACGCTTCTATGCTGTGCTGTGTCCAACAACTGACTGCAGCTTGCATTTATTTCAGACACTCCCGGATGTTTCTCATGGCTTGTTTCTCACATGAGCTATCCCTTTTGGGTACTTCACGTGTTATCTCAGTATATCCCACTTGGCTTTTATTGCACTGTTTGTTAGTATTTTTTTAGTCTTGTTTCACCTTAGTGACATAAGAAACTGTGAAATGGGATGCTTCTGGTATTATTAGTCTGGACTCCAGTTTATTTTCTTGAATGAAAATCGTTTGAACAGACGTTTGGGCAAAAAAATATAGTGGAGGCAAACAGCGAAGATTTATTGAAGACTGAAATCTCTACCCAGAGACTGCATGTTATACTGGTAGAGCAATTTGGTTTGTGGAGTTTTGCCAGAATTTGAATCCGACTTCCACTTCTCACCTTCCTCAGTATAACACAGTCCTGCTGTGAAAAGCAGCAATAACGGGAGAGCCAAGTTTCTGACGCAGCAGTTGTTCTCGCAGGGCCAGATCCCCGCTGGTGCCTTCCAGCAGAGCCCCTGGCAGCCTTCCCACCTCTTCGCAGCACGAAGGGGTTTGCCTCTGATGCACTGCCAGTGACAGTCGGATGCCTCCATGTCTAAAAATCAATTTCTGATATTTTTGAGTTCTCTTATTAAAAAGTCGGTAGGGCTGTAAGACAGAGCTAGATTCTGTTCCGACTCACATATCATCTCAGCTTTGTCAGAGATTTACTTCTGGTGACAAAATCATCTGATCAGGCAGGATTTTTCACAGCTCTCTTCATAGATGTCATGGTGGGCAAAATTTTCCTGTAGGACCTGTTGTGTGTAGAAGAACCCACATATAGCTCCAATGTAAAGCATGTTTTTTGTTTTGCAGAGGTGATAAGTAAAAAAAATAATAATCTACCCATTTAGCAAACACAATTGAACACAGTTAGAGATGAATAACCATAGAACCCTACCAAATGTTGTTTTAATATTCCTTTTTTCATTTTAATATTCCTTTTTCCAGAGCTGATATGTACTGCTAAATAGTGGTAATTTTTTCCAGGATAGCTTTAGTGGTAAGGTTGAGGAAAAGATGCATACCATATGATTGTAATTAAGATACTTTAAAATATTTAGTAAGCAAATTAAAACTGTGGTTAGTATGGAAGAAGATATATTAGTATTATTAGTATTGCAAGGAAAAGCAACTGGAGCAAAAGCGTTTTCATTTAAAATTTCTTTAATGATGGTAGATGAAACTCCCCCCC